CCCCCCCCCCCCCCCCCCCATCAGTCCCTTAGAGTATTTTCAACCTCTACTCAGCGAGTCTCTGACGTCTCCTTGCCCTACCGCTACTCCGTATAAAATTATCTGTCTCGAAACGAGGCCATAGAATTCTAAGATGGCGGATGCAAGTGAATGATGCATGTGCTAGCCTAAATCAGCTGTTCAAGTCATGTCATTGCAGAGGTTTACATCTTTTTGTCACGCAAGAACGTTTTTTGTCTTAAATACACGGCTCAGTGTTCGTCTTTGTTCGTCAAAGATTTCTAAAAATCTTAAATCGGCCAAACTTTACGAACCTCGAGATGTAGTTCACAACTATTACAATTTTTATGCTGCGAGGGAAAGATTCTTCAAACCTTCAGTTCGATGTATTAGCACTGCTTACCATCTTCTTCAAGAGAGCAGTATATCGACTGACGAAAAAACAAGTGCCACTTTAAAGGACGAAGCGACCATCATTTCCCAACTAAATTCAGAATTTTACGAGGAAGAAGCTGATATTCCAAACAGGCCACCGAAGCCTCGTGCAACCGTTGTACAGTACAAACTAGATCAAAATGGTTTTATGAAGGTTCAAGATCTAGTAGACTTCCTTAAAAAAGAGAGTGCAGTAGACATTTGTGTGATAAAAACAAGAGGAATTAGGCAAAATTACGTGGATTACTTCGTTGTTGTCAGCGGTGTCTCTACAAGACATATCAGGGCTATGGCGAAAAATCTGGAACTACTGGTAGGTTGATATTATATGTTATTAACTGTTATAATATATGTTATAAATAAGGGGTGCTACAGACTGGGCATAGCTGGAAACCTCATTCCTAGGGTTGTCTGTCTTCCTCCATTATGGGGCAATCTTGATACCTGAACCAGTAAGGAAGTAAAATGACTCTATGAAAAAGGCTGGAACAGCTGAAGCTAGGCTCTTGTAAGCAGACACCCTCATGAAAAGGAAAGGGAGTTTGTAACTGAAGCCTGTTTGAGAATTATTACCTTAAACAGCACTGGAGGTGAAAGTAGTCTTTAATGTTGATAATGTATTTTATTGTGAGTCTGACTATTACAGTTCAAAGGAAAAATGTTACCTGGCATTGGAAAAGGTGGGCATCCTGTGGTAGAAGGAATGGAGAGTAACCATTGGGTGGCACTAGATATAGGTAAGAATGGTCATGCTGTGTTCATCACTAAAACTTCGAATTTGAGAGTAGCAGACTTTTTCAGCTCTTGTTATGGGGCAAGCTGACAACTTGTTCAGATTTCAGCTGCTTATATTATTCTTTTCATCTCTAGATGTGATATAAATACCTTTTTCACTCCTCTGCTACTATTGCACCTTTATGCATCTATCAGTTTGAAGTATCAGTTACCCCCTGGAAACGTCTCAAGCATTTGCAGATTGGCTCATGCAAACCCCCTCCCCCTCCCCTCCTGGGCAAAAATTGCTTTCAAATGCCTCACCCACTATTGAGTGATTCTTTGTGTTATCAATGAATGTTGTAGAACTTAGCAAAGTCACATATTGGTTTTTGGTGCTGCTGTTGGGTTTTTTGCTGGTAAGCATTGTACTCTGGTGTAGAAATTTCTTTCTAAGCCATTTTATCACCAAAGAAGATTCTTAACCTTTAACTTCTCCATTAAAAGATGTGCACTACACTGGAAAGTCTAGACACTTTTGGTTGAAATGTCCCACCTGGGCAAGGTTCAAATTCCTTGCCCCCCCGGGCACAGACAACAGTAAAATACCCATGGGTTGCCAGGAAGGGGGGGGAGGAGGCAAGTTTAAGTTTTGATTAGATTGGCACATTACTATCACGCTCTCTTTTACCTACTGAATGTTTGGAAGATGTTAAACCCCATGGCCATGGTGAATGTAATTTTCTAACATTTGCTTTTATTTTGCAGGTAACATCGTTGTGCATTTCTTTCTTCCTGAAGTTCGCGAGGTGTATGAACTGGAGAAGCTTTGGACTCTAGGGCCAGAGTATGATGACCAATCAAGGGCCTTTTTGGAGGAAGAGAGATTTCGTCAGGCAACTGAGTATGGTATAAAACTTGACAAACCAGTCAGTGATGAGCTTGGTGAGGATGGTCCTGTTGTTGAAGAGCTTGGCATAGATGATCCACGTCGCTACTGAGCATAACTTAAGTGACAAAACCATGGGAGGGTAACATAGTTTGATGTAAGCTTCATACGCTTCCTAAATGAATTACATTTGCTACGTATGTTTCCTACCTTGAGCATAAAATTGGTAAACCTATGGAGATAAACTGTCAAATCTTTGAGAAGCCCCTTTGGGATCTCACTGCACCCCTTTCACATTGGCAAGAAGTCAGAGGTCTGAGCAGATCTTAACCAAATTATAGAGATGTTGCAATGTTGCACCTCATTTGGTTGTCAGGCAAAGGAAGCTCGGATGGAGAATTGTGGTGCGTGGAGGGGATGCCCTTTCATATCCCCCTTTCTCCCTCTACTTACAGGTGCATACATTTCACCCATACCTGGCAGCATGTGTGGTGAACGAGCAGAAGAATGAAATACACACAAGTATACTTTCAGAAAAATTTTAAAAAATTACATGTGATACAGTTTTCTGCAGTTTATTTGAAGTTCTCCATTTAAGAGGTGCTACTTTGTAGTAAATAATGTTACAGTTTGGAAAGTTCTCTTGAAACTTAAGTAGATTATCAGTTAGTCATGAAATAGTTATATAGACTAAAATTCAGCAATATATAGTATTTCTTAGTTTGAATAGTATCTCTATATGACACATACTTGAAAATTGCCAATAGAATTAATGGAACTGCTTTGATATAGTGATATAGTGGAAATATAGTTATACTGATAAATTATTGGCTTAAGGTGCAGTATTCGTAATTGTAGGATACTTGTATTCAAGATGTTAATTTTTCAAAGCTATCTCGGAGAATTTTTTAAGTCAGAACTGTATTTCTCTTAAAGTTTTCTCAGAAGTTAGAGGAGAAGTATACTCCAGACACCATATAATTTTCATCTTTTTCAATAAAAAGTACAAATGAAATTGTGAATAAAAGTTGTATGGTTTCTGAAGTGAACCTCTCCTTCAGACATTATTTTTACTTGTTCATCATACAGGCAGAAAAATGTAACACGTGATGTGCAATGCACGTGGATTAATACGTGATGTGTAGTGCACTCACATAGGACTTTATGTCTGTCCCACGTGGCAAGAATATGATGTGCAATGCACGTGGATTAATACGTGATGTGTAGTGCACTCGCATAGGACTTTATGTCTGTCCCACGTGACAAGAACGTGAAAGGCCAGGCACCTGTATTGGATTTGGCTAAATTCACAGAGGTTCGTAACTATGTACATTAGAAGCAGAAATTGGTTTCTTGACCACGAAGTGTTGCCCAATATCTCTTTGTGGGCTGCATGGGTAGGGGAAAACCGTCTTTCAGTTCATATAAATCGGATTTAATAGGGTTCTTTTTTTAAACAACTGTTCCACTCAATTCTCAGAGCTTCATACAAGTTGTACTTAAGCTTTAACCAATAATTACCTATCGCGCGTAAAACTATCGCAACATTTGGTTTGAAGACCCTAACAGTCTTAGCTGTGACGAGCTAGCTAAACTCCGAGACATGTATATTTTCATAATAATTTCAAGATAATTTTCTACGCATCCAACACAACATAACCTAATCTGAGCGCACACAGCATTGGCAATGTTTGCTCCTTTCAAACAATAACAATACACATACCTCTTGCTTATTGTAACCGCTGGTTATCCATTTACCTGGCAATCGCACCTTTGCGCCTCAAACACATTTTATCCGGGGGGAGGGGAGGAGGAGGGCGTACGACCTTCCCTTTACACGGATGTCAACAACTCTTTATGTTCCTCGACTTTGTCCGACTCAGATTCAATTGAATTCTTAGTATCTGTTGTTCCGTTCATCGAGATTTGAGCCCCGCCATTATTGTTGACTTGTAGCTGTTGCTTCTGAGAATAAAGAGTTCCATCTAGGGATGTATCGCTGCTCCCACACATGGTGCATGTTCCTATGGGTTTGGCCCCATTCCGTCTGTTGGTCACTTTTAGGTCATCCCTCCTTTTGCTCCTTTTGATCTTAAGGACGCACTCTATCCACGAGCGGAAATATGTTTTGAAGCCCTCTCGGAACTGTTCGTTGACGGCGTTGTAAATGAGCGGATTGGCGGCGCTGTTTGCGTAAACACAAATCTGACAGATCTGTCTGATGCCATCAGCATGAGGGTAGTCGCCTTCTGATGGAAAAAGATGTTAAAACTGACAAAGCAATCGTCGCAAGTTCATGGTAAAAATTCTTAAACGAGAAGCATGGGAGAAAGTAATGACAATTCGAGGGTCAAGGAATGGGGGAAAGGAAAAGGAACAGACAGTTAAATGAGGGATAACCAAGACGTAGAAGGCGACAATGAATCATTGATTTCGTGGAGTGAGGAAAGGGAAACGATCGGAAGTTAAGTTACAAAAAGGAAGAAGACAGGAAATGGGAAATTAAGAACGTGTTGTTATTTACAAGATCTTTGATGAACAGCCAGGAACATGAAAATATATTAGTGTGCAGGTGTTTGACGGCAAAATGAGGAGAATTTGTTACATCTAACTTACAATGCACATGACGAGCTTTTGCGTACAGCGAATGCCTAAAGAACGTGAGTATTTAAAACATATTTTGCTTTCGACACTTACCTCCTTTACCAAAGTCGTACCACAAGAAGTAAATGTGATTAGGAAGCATCAGCAAAGCAAAGACAATTACAACAACAGTGAGAATCTTCATTACTTTATGCGCTTCCTTTTCCTGGTCGCGCTGAAGGGTATCGTTTGAATACGACCCTTTGTCCTTGCGAAGATCGCGGCCAATTCTATGACAAAAAGTGGAAGTTAGGTGTGCGTTTAAGAGATGCGTGGAGGAATTCGCGCACGGGAAAAACGCACGCGAGGAACTAAGACGCGTGGCGAAGTTGTTTCCAACCAAGTTTCGCTATGCGCGTTTTCTCGCGCGCTCCGCCATAAATTTTCCGGTTTTTCTGGCAGGTTAGGAGGAAGGCTAGACGAAAGGACGGAAGAAGGAAGGAAGAAGAGAGGAATGGATGGATTGACGGATTGACAGACGGTCGGACGTGCGGAGGAGTTAATAAATAGAGTGAATAATCAATTGCACCGTTCCTCTACCTTATATACGAGAGTCCAATGATGGATAACGGGACGACATACTGCAGAAGGAAGATCGAAATGGTATAACCGCCAGCGTTCAGCCCTTTTTCGTGGAAATATTCTTGGCAATCAGTACCAGCAGCGTTCATCTCCAAAACGGCAATGTATGGCGACACCAGAGCTAATGCAAAAACCCAAATTATGCCAATAACTTTCTTTGCGTCACGAGTCTGTAGCTGCGGACGGAGTGGATACACGACTGCCATGAACCTGTAGGTTAAGGTTAGGGTTAGGGACAACTGGAATGATTTTGCTGCTATTTATGCTTTGAAGCATTTTGTGCGTGTGCGTGGAATACATGTAACTGCGCATCAAGAGGTTCCGCCTTGACTGAGCGCCATCCGCGAAGTGACAACAGCTTTATTTCGCCTTTTGCTTGTGGCAAGAAATATTTCGATCAGCTGGTGATTTTGCATGCAAATAAGACGAAAGCATTTTCTTAGTTCAGTTTTTGTTCTCCAATATTTCAGACTAAATATCATATCTTGAAATATTTATTCTTTGTGAAATCAATCAATACCGTCAACCGGTGTACAAAAACAACCAAATTCGCTTCAATTATTCGGGTAGCAAAACCTAAATGTAAAACAGAGCGTTAAGGGTTTGAAACAAAACGAGCTAAAAAAAACACCACAAAATTCTGACCAATAATCTTAAAAACTTGTTGTAATTTTAACATCCCTACAATGCGAGAAGTTTAACTTTGTTTCTCTTCCACTGTGACATGCAGTTTTAAAATGGGTCATATTTTCAGTTAAAACTGAATTCAATTCTATTCCAGCTACTGTTTATTAGATCACAAATAATAAGACCATGACCGTCGTATAATCCCTTGTCGATAATTGTGCCCAAGCTCTGATTTCTGTTCTATGTTGATTTAAATATGAAATCAGCTTGCTCAGGGATATTCAAGGCTGAAGTTAGAAAACTGATAAGCTATGTTTGCCATGTTAGATCTAAATATTATCGATCACCGAGAAAAACGAATTACAATAAAAAACCTTAAAACAACCAATTCCATCAGTAAAGACAGATGGATTATTTCAACGCGTTCTCTAGCAGAGCTTAAAATATATTGTACCAATAACAAGACTACGTCGCCGAAGAGTCGCTGTTCATTGTTCTACAAGCGTTGGAACTCATTCTGTGATTTTTTTTTTCAATCACTGATTGATCATATATTTAATGCGTGTGGACACGAATTAGAAATCCGTTCCGTTTTTAATTTTCTTCAATTCTGCAAATGAATTTTTTTATTCCTTTCATCGAGCAGGAACCACATGGATGTACGAAATAAAAACAAATAATTCCGTGTGTCCATTAATTGAGCTGTTTCTAAGTCACACTTACGATCGTCGCTTGTGTTTCCTGAGAAATGCATCTAGGCGATAACATGTCATTGTCACCGCATAGCGGATTAACTTTTCGCCTCGAGTAGCATTACGAGTAATCATCAATCTGGGTTGTTTATATTAAAGTCTCTAATCTGATCAGGAGATCCACTGTAAGAAAGAAACAATCTGATTGTGTATTTTGTAGCGATTTGAACATAATGTTGAATTTTTGCGCGGCGTGGGTTGGCCAAGTAAATGTAATAACTGCACCATGTTTGTGGGTCTCTGTACGTCAATGCAACGTGGGCGGACACGCTTTTTCAGGCGTAAAAATATGTTTAGGTTAATTTTGAGGCAAAAGTAATCTTTAGATCTTCCCTCCTACTGTACCAAAATTTTCAAACTTGAGAGGGAAAAAAATAGTGATTTAAAACTACCGGCAATCGGACTGCAAACGCGACGTTTACGTTTACGGCCGAAATGTATAAAACATTTGTTTTTGATATTGAAGGACGAGATTTAGGCACAGTACCTCGTGAAAATAATGCTCAGAAGCGTTCATTTGAATAGTTACACACCGGGTTTTCATCCACAAACCTAAACGTTACAATCACCTCGCACAGCAGAATAAACAGTATCACATCAAAGAACTCCTCAATAGCTTTATTCAAACGTTTACCACAATAAACGGTGCCTCATGAACGTACTTCACAATATACTCTAGTCTCAATTGCTTCATTTTCATCAAAAAGGGTTTCAATTACAGATTTTTAAATAAAAAAAAAGCATATTGTTGCCACAGAACTTGCTATCGCACAGAAATATCTCTTAAGCAGATTAAAACATTTTCAGCAACGACTTTTAACAGTGCATAAACAATCATTTGCCCATTTTCAGCTTTCAGAAGTCGTAAATAGGTTTTTATCTATTGTTTTCCTAAGCCCTTAATGGACAGTCGCCGTGTAATTACTGTGATTACAATAAGCTGTTGAAAAGTCTCTTTACTTTGTAGTAGGACCGAATGATTAAAACCTCTTTTAGCTGACAAAAACAGTGACACTTCTTTAACAAGGAAAGTGCTGTTTGCTTTCAAAGTTCACCAACGGTAAATGCAATATCCAACTTATTCAGCATGAATGAATTAGCAAGGCAGGCCAAACACTTGGTGTGTATTCTTATCGTCTCCGAAAACAGTAGAAAATAATATGCATGTGGCAATGATGAACCGAGAGGAAAACAGAAGGCCATTAATATATAAAATGAGCTCTCACTCCGTAAAATGCATGAAGATGTGTTCCCAAACTGGAGTAATATTCATTTAGGTATATGTTAGTTTTGTCAGCTGATTAAACTGTTTCCTTCTCATAAATCTAGCCAGCGCCCATTCATATTTCCGGTGTAAGAAAAAAAAATCGTTTGACGTAAAAACAACATTTTATCGTTGAGATAAACGAAACCATACACTATTTGGCACTGCATTTTACCTTAAATCTAGGAAAAACACCACATGCGCCAGAATTTGTAATTATTTGACATGTCGTTTTATTTCAACAAAAAGTAAAGTGATTTCTCTCAATTTGAATTCGAGATGACCAAAAAAAAAAGGTTCTACAACTGTAGGTAACCACAGGATTCATACACCCTTGACGCAGATCAAAGCGAATATCATTAA